TCGTGATGTAAAATTCTACTCTACACTGTACTTTCAACATTATTATAATAAGAAATTACAGATAATCTTGTAATGTAGAGTAGAGCACATGTCTATGTGTATGTGTATACATGCCCTACACACGCAGATCTTCATTACAATGCATTACTAGTAAAAATTAACTCTGCCTAAATATTTGCCATTTTAGCCAATAAACTGTATTTTTGTATTTTTAGAACAATGAATGTACATTACACAACTTCTTGGCTATTTTTGTCGTTGCAACTTCATGCCATCAATTTGCAGATTAAAGTAACGACAAAGTTGCATTGTTTCGTCTGTTTCTTTCATTTATTTATTCATTAAAATGTTTTTATTTTTTTAATTTCCACACAGAAATATTTGCTGTATCATGTCATTCTAAGAAAGATATAGGAAGATGCTTCAAACTTATTCGTCAATAAGCAGCAAACTCAGAAATGAATACTGTATCAACTACTAAAGCATGATTAGTGAGTATATTGAGGAAGTATAGGTTTGAAAGATCACCTGATACTCAGGTTGGTTGTAGATGATCTTGTTGATACTTACATGCATGATTTATTTTCATTTTCGTAGATACCATTAAAGAAGAAACAAGCAATCTCCTGGCAAAAGATAGCTTTTCTAAGAATGACTATAATTTTAAATTGGATAAAATTGGAATTAAATGATATTTTTATTTTGCGGGAGTTTATATACAAGCACAATATTATTTTTAACTTTTTTGGCAAAAATTAATGATAATTGTAAGGGCGTGGTGTAGGTGTGGTTAGCCCTGCCTTAAAACCATGTGGAGTCATCATGAGAACTAGAATGGGTACTCCTGGGTTTCCTATGGTCAATACAAGATAAGGGAGCTTCTGGTTGGCTGATAGACTGAACGTGTTTAGTTGTTCCTAGTGAGTCAGAGATGTTGTTCCAGAGGATAATGGATTCCATGCTTACTTCAGTGGACTTTCTTCAGTTTCTTGTGGTGTTGTCCTCTGAGAGAAGGTTAGAGAGGGAATAGTATACTTATGTTGCATAGAAAGTCTGAACCGATTCCAATCACAATGTTCTGTTTAATTTGGATTTTTGATTTTAGCGTTTTTATGATTTTCTAATGCATATACATATAGACCTCTTCAGGTGAGATTGACGGTGGCCTATGAATATCATTACTGTTTATTACGGTATCCACCTATGGTGATAATTGGCTGCCATTTTGGATGGCAAGATTCAATGGAGGATGAATGAAGAAAAAGCAAAACTGATTCTTTTCGTTGGCATGGAGCTTTTTCAAGCTACAAAAGCTGGTTGGAGGAAAGAATGGTCACTGCTAAGCATCTCCTAAAAGAGATTTGGTGCAATATGAAGCACATTCTTTAATAGAGCTTGCTTTCTGCATTAGCCCATTCATACTGCATAGAAAGTTGCCGTCCACGAAAATTATTTCAGAGTCAGCCAGGCTCAGTCACGCCTCTTGCTGTATATCATTCTTTGACGTAATTCATTCTCACCCAAAGAGGTCTATACATGTTCTTATGTTGCATGCATGGAAAGTTTGAGCTAATACTGATTAAATTTGGATTTCTTAGGAATTTTTCAAGTTCCTCCCCATCAGTGTTTTGGCCCCCAAGGCGCTAAGACTATTTTGAATGAATTGTTTATGGTAGCCACCCACAATTAAAATTACTGACGGCAAGAAGCTCTCCACATCAAAGGCAGATCAAAGTCCAAGGTGCTGAAATGAAGCATAACAAGAAAATTATGCTGCAGCAAGAGTTACCTGGTCTACATGATGTAGTCTGGCCTCCATACTTTCATAAATGCTGCTTGTAAGCCTGTAGTACCTTGTAGAGCTCACAAATTGGCCAGGCAGTGTCACTGCCTTTGATCTTGAGGCCTTCTTGCCATCAGTAATTTACATCCTGGGTGGATACCGTATAGGAAAAAAATTATTTGTTATGAATAAATATTGTTATTGTAATCATATTTATTGAAAATTGTCTTAGCTCCTAAGGGGTCTATAATTTTTCATTAATAGTTTTTAATAATTCTCCTCTCAATAGGCTGGTCCAGTCTTGATACACTAGCAGTACTTGGTTCTCATAAAGGTGACGTCATTCTGAAAGTTCTTCAAACACCTCCTCCTCATCCCAGCAACAATCTAATGGCCCTCTCTTTAGTCTTCATGGAGTCCTTCCAGTATGATGATACTCTTCCACAATATGTCGGGAAGTTGAATGATGCCCTTTTAAATGGCTGCTGTCATTCAATCTAACTGAGGGTAGGATTGTGTGTATCCAAATTAATGCTCCATGCACATTCCTGGCATTGGTTTTTTTTCAAAAAATGGCTCCAAAATCCCCCCCCCAATTTTTATTAGATTCTCTGATACATATTAATGTCCATATGCTGTCTAGAAATTTTGAGCTGATTCCAGCTTGAATTTTTTGAGTCACATCCATTTTAAGAAATTTGCCATAATCTAAAAATACCCAAGGCTATTTTTTCAGAAAAAGGGCTAAAAAATTGCCTCTAATTTTTATTACATTTTCTGATACATATTGATGTCCTTATAAGCTGTGTAAAAAGTTTGAGCCAATTCCAACTTAATTTTTTGAGTTACGGCCATTTTAAAAAGTTTGCTGAAATCTGAAAGATACCCAAGGCTTACAGTATATATAATCCTTTCTTTTTCTTCTTATTATTTCCTCTCCTTGAGCTATGTATATGTACATGTACATTAATCATTAATAATGTACAATTATGATCCTTAACTTCATTATTATCCAGTGGTCTACAGTGTCTCTAATGCTATGATTATTGCTGCCATTCATCCACTGGAATACTGTAGAATGTTTAGCTAACACTCCAGGTAAATATTTACAATTTTATGATAAAATATAATTTAAAATACCTCCTATTCTGCCATGTTTAGATGGTCCCTGTCTCTTACGAACTCTGTCTTTGTCATCATTATATAAAATCTCGGTCTCTCCTGATCTAGGAGTGTCTCTTAATTCATTGGATCAATGTTCCCTCCCACTCAATGCACTGGAGACTGGAACTGAGACATAGTGTCATTTTTCCTTACATGTAGGAATAAAGGTAAATGATACTATACTGACTACTGAGAGTGAATAAGAAGAAGCTAAACCAGTCACTGTATGCTCTCTCTCTCCTCTTGCTCTGATCTTTTATGATCCTCTCTCTTTTTATCTTCCTCCTCTGTCTCCTCATTCCCCTCTATCTCTTTCCCCCTCTCTCCCTCTCCTCTCTCTCTCATTTCAGGTAAGGTTTGCTAAGGCTGGAGCTAAAGATAAACAAAAGGTGGAGCCTGAGGAACCTTGGAAAGTTGTGACTACCACTCACTTGAAGTAAAGCTATTGATACTTGTTACTAGTATAGTATTTTATTATTTTTATTGTATTAGGTGTCAATGTATGGTAGTTGAGGAGGTGTGTCTCTTAATTCATTGGATCAATGTTCCCTCCCACTCAATGCACTGGAGACTGGAACTGAGACATAGTGTCATTCTTCCTTAGGAATAGAGGTAAATGATACTATTTATAGTAACACTGATACTATTTATAGTACAATGCTATTGATTGAGACTATGCTATTGTAGTATATGATATATCATTGTCTATTGTAGTAATTGATACTATTTATAGTAACGATGCTAGTGTACACGTTTGGTAGTGATGTAGTAATTCAAAAATTGTCCATTGCACAAAAATTTGTTGTTGGAATGAACTCAAACTTTTTTACTAGCAACAGACAGGCTAATAAAAAAGTAATAATGATGTATATTGCTTTGCTTGGCTCATCCCCTTGATGTTTTACATTCATCTTGTAATAATGTATTATTTTGTAATATTGGGAACTGTGATTTGAATTGAATAGTAACCTGATATAGAAGTGAAGCACAACTAAGTGTATAAAAGAACAGCATGAGTATCTCAGTAATGTGAGAATGTCAACTACACTAGTGGTTTAAAGAGGACTTTAGATTTAGAATGGAATAATGAAGTAGAAGGAAGACGGAAAAAATTAACGAACAACAAAAACATTAAAAGCATGCACTTATACTAAAATCATAATACATGTACATCATATGATGTCATATTGACAGTCCATCTATAAATAGAAATAGTAATGGCCACAATAATGATAACACACATACATGTAAGTAACAATAATAAAGACAATAATAATACAAACATAATGATCATTGCATAACATTTGTACAACAACAATGATTACATAGTAATAATAATAATAGTATATTGTAGTTAAGTGTACATGTACATGTATGCATAAATGTCAAAGCACCATTATCACTCATTTAATAATAAGTAATAGTTATAAACAAAATAATTACTATAGGCAGCCATCTTAACAAATGATAGAAAATAATAATTTCAAGAAACAGAAGAACTAGGCAATTAAGTGCTTTGATGTACAATATTTATCTCTAATGTAACTAGCAATAGATTTCTCTTCTATTGTATCCAGTGCTGTAGCTAATGATGACCAACTGGGACCTCCTTTTTCTCTCACTTTATCTTCTCCTCTTAACCAGGCAGACATACACTGTATCAGACATGGCTTGCATTCTTTATGATCCTTCTTAATAGCATTTAGTGTTGGATCATATAATCCTAAGTGAAGTCCAAACTCATACCAGTTAGAATAACCATAATGATTGAGTATTGTTAGCTCTTTAATGACAATATCAAGATCTTTAATATCTATAAAATAATAATTAATAACATGTACATGTATATACACACAGTCTACACTTTCACTGACAATTGATAGTACATAGCATAACATACCTAGCTTTATTGTAGTGTCTTTGTTGAATACTTCAGACTTTATTTCAATCACTTCCTATACAATTATAATAATTATGTCACTGTAGTGTATTGCTGAAAGGTGAGAGTACCAGATGTACAAGTATAATTGTTAGTAGTAAAAGCCACACAATGACAACCCATAGTTATGACAAAAACTGAGTAATTGATAAGAAATAAAATTACTTTTTAAAGATATGACCTTTTGATTATTAGTGCTTGTATTAATGTATCAAACAGTTTGTGTGTGTTAATTCTTACCTTAATATCACGTCCTCCTAATAGTGACAGGTTACTAATATCTGATAATGATTCATCAGGTAGGATCTCCTTCAATTCTGTACGTCTAGTACTAGTGGTAACAAGAAATGGTCGTTGTTCAACTACTGCTGAGAGTACAGCTTTTACACTATACACTGTCCTTTCTCTTGGTGTATTTACAGGATAGGCTAGTTCTTTAGGATCAATAACTAATTCTTTTACCTCTAGACTGGGACAGGATTCTTTATAAACACTCATTACTTCTCCTATCACATCTCTTCTTAGAGACACCATATTGTCACTGTAACCTTTCTCACAGGACATCATTACTAGTACACACTGGCTCTCATCCACAATCTCTACCAGTGATCCTACACCATGACCATTAAACCAATAAATTCCATTCTTCCAAAATGTGCAATAACGATTTAACTTGTCATCTTCTTGAGGTAGAGCCATGTTGTAAGCAAGATGTAATGAGAGAACGTGGAAGTATCGAGGAGGAAAGAAATGA